CCCAACTACCATCAAGAGACTGCCAGCCTGATAAAGCAATGAAATAACACACTGAAGGCTCAGGGGCGATGCCAGCTGGGAGATGACATCCTGGAAGTATGGGTGCTATCCTTCAGGATTCATTATACACCTTAAACAAATGGCCTTAATATAGTGCTGATTCGCCTACTTAGTAGAATACACGAGTTTCAGATAAAAAGGATTAGGGATCCACTGTCTCTCCCAGTAACTCCCTTAGGGATAGGCACTTTCTGTCCTCACTATTTTAGGATCTAGAGATCTAGAGGTCCTGGTTCCCAGAGAGAAAATGCTTCTACCAGGGCACACAGTAAACATCTTAATAAACAAAGCTATGACAGCTGCCTGGTCACTTTGGGCTCCTCGCGCTAGAAGACCGGGAGGCAAAGAAAAGAATGACTATACTGGTGGGAGTAATTGGCCTTGATCATCGTGAGGAGGTAGGGCTGCTGATACATAATGACAACAGGGAAAATACATTTGGTAATCCAGTGATTCTCTGGGGCACCTTTTGTTACTGCCATGCTTTGTTTTAACTGTAAATGTACAAGTAGAGCAACTATGACCTGTTATGAACATAGTAGTCCTTTGTGATGAGAGCCTGGCTTACCTCCTCAGGAAAGATAACTGGGTGGGAGGGGAATCTACAATGAGTAGTGGAGGTGGGAATTTATGAGTACCAGTTATAGCATTAGAGTTAGCTGCAATAGCAGATGTAGTAATTTACCCCACTAACATTTTTTTTGTAAGTGTTCCCAGAAATTCTGACCAACCATGTTTCTGGAAAAGCTATTCCTAAATGAAATACACTCAATGTGAAGAACAAGTGGATCTGAGGAGTGCAAGGGGTGCACTTTATTATTTAGGTGTCCCATCTAGATTTCCTTTACTAAGCAGATGGACCATTCCTCTAGCTGTTGTAAATTGCTTCTGAAGGGTTCACTATTGCCCCTTTCTCTGTAGAACTGCCCCCAGACAAATGAGAATTGCCTCACCTAGGAGATTACACCTCTCTTTCCATGGGTAGTCTTTAGGTAATGACTCATATGGGAATGCAAAAAGCTAGCACCCTATCTTTAAGTGAGACCACCTCTGCAGTGCAATTAATGAATCCATGAGCTCCTCTGAGATCCTACTGCAGCTAGTTCCTTCCCCTGACCTAACCTGATTTCCACATTACTTTCTCCTGACAATATTCCATCAATAAATAACATTCACCTGAATGCCTTAGGCCCTGCTTCTAGAGAATTCTAAGGCTTCTACTGTATTTTTAAATTATCTTTAAATGTGTTATTACAGTATTTGCAAAAGTAGGACATACCTTGAGGAATGATTATGTTAAATCTGTGTTAACATTTTCTGCCTACTAGATATGCCCTTTATAAGAATCCAAAATTATATATGATTGAGGTTGTTTAAAATTAATGTGTATTTTATGAAATACACTTAATGTTCAAAATGAAAACTTGAGTGTCCCATAATATGAGAAAAATTCTTTTCTGGGAAAAAATCTCAAGAGGAAAAAAACTCCTGGCTTGTATTTGAGCAATTAGATGAATAAGCTAAGTAACCCATTACATATTCAGCCAGTAAGTGGCAGATATAGGATTATAACCCTAGTGACAAATTCTAGCACATATTTTTGTACCTCATTCTGCTGCTAGTAATGCACCTATTGTTGGAATAAAGATCCATGAGGCTGTTTCCAGCCTGATCTCTTTACTATGACTAGAGAGCCATAATGACAAAATATTTTTTTCCAGCCATTCGTCAATCCTTCAGAATAATGCTATTGAATTTCAGAGTATTTCTAATCCCCAATTAAACAAGTTCCAGAGAATAAACATGTACAAGTGAAGTGATCCACAAAGAAAACTTGGGAGATATAATTTGTGTTCTATCACGCTTGAAAACCATTCTGTGAACAGGAAGTCGGGGGAGAATCACACTCTCTTCTTGAGGCATGTAGAGAGATGTACGAGGGAGTAAACTGTTCACTTAATCTTCAAATACTTCTCTTGTCCTAAACTCACTGAGAAGAAATGGAAAAGTTAAGAATCTCAAGCCCTAGAGAGTCAAAATTTATCTTGAATTGAATAATACCTGAATTGTTATCATTTTTTGTCTTTCCATAAGGAATTCTATAAAGGCCAAGGATATAACCATCTTCAGTTACAATATCATACTCTTCATCTGGGTATCCCCAGTAGGAAATAATTTGACTCTAGGCAAAGAAAAGGGAAACCTTTTAGAATAAGATTGTTAGTCAATCAATCTAATTTAGTAATATAATAATGAACTTTCATATTCTTTCTCAACCTTGGGCCTGTTTTTATTTGCACCAATTCATTGATTCATTCAGTAATAAATATTTATAGACACCTAAATCAGTCTTATACAGTAGGAATTTATGGACAAATAAAAAACAAAAAAATCCCTGTCTTCAAGGAGATACTTCAGAACTAACTCATTTTTTAAACTACTAATCACTTATACTTTTACCTATTCACCCATATACAATTTTAAAATATTTTTTAACCATAAATGTTCAGTGTCTATGTACATAGCTAAGCTTATAGCTGAAATCTGTATGTATGTACATATATAGAAGAGAGGATTTATAATCTGGATTTATATATATATTCATCACAGAGACAGAATAAGGCCTGAGGGGAAACTGTGAACTGTACAACAGATGAAGAATATTAGTTAACTTATATAAAAATATATCAATGCAGAGAGATAAATTTGACTACAGATCTGTTAAATGAAAAAGTTGAATAGTAGCATACACTGTTATTTCATCAGCTGAGCATTTATTTCCTAGCAACTTACAATATTCATACTGGTTTCAGGGTTCACAAATCTTTGATGTCGAAAGGCACCGTGAGTAGTTCCAAGGTTTAGTATAAAAGATATCACTTTGAAGAGGTACCACATTTGGGATCTACATATAAAAGCAGATGTCGATACTATTAAAATTGCAGTAAATACCATTCAGCCGTTTAAATTCTGTGAGGTAGGAAATATTACCATTTTCAGATAAGAAAACTGAGTCTCTGAAAAATTAAATAATTTGTCTAAGGATGCACAATGTGTAACTGTCAGTCAGGGTTCAGATTCAGGCTTGCTTCATTTCAAAATCCATGCTTTCCCAACTACCCTATTTTGCACCACAAATTCCGTCTTTGAAGTCTTCATTATAGTATTGTTTTGTCCAACTCTGAGAGCTTTATCATGTGTTGAAAGTTAATTAATAATGTATCAGTATTGATAGAGGAAATCTGATCAAGACCAGCAAAACACTTAAACAAATTAGCTTTTATGGAGCATCACACCACAACTTTTTTTTCAAGTGTACAAGGAATATTCACTAAGACCATATGTTGACCATGAAATAAGTATTAATAAATTTCAAAAGTATTAAAATACTGCATAATATGTTCTCAGACCACAACAGGATTAAATTGAAAATGAATAACAATTTGTAGAAAATGTAGAAAAGCCTCAAATATTTAAAGTGCAAACAGTGGATTTATGAACATATGAATAACTCAGGGGTCCAGAGAAGATAAACCAAGAATATTAGTGAATATTTTTGACCAAGTGATTAGGACAGTATACTATTTCTAAATATGTTGGATGTAATTGAAATAAGATGTAATTGAAATTTAAAACTGCTACAACACCTTGTTCACATAATAAGTAGATAGAAATAAAAGAACTTTTGTTAAACAATGTCACTTAATTTTGTGAAATCTTGAGTTACACATCAAAAATATAATGACTTAAGCAATTTTTAAAGATGGTGACATAGGAGGCTCCTGAATGCCTCTCCTCCTATGAACATACTGAACACATGGATCAAGTCCTTTTGAAAGAAATCTAGAAACTAGCTGTGCAATTTCTACACATAAGGCAAATGAGAAAATATCCACATCGAATGGGTAGGAAAGGCTGAGACACACACCATAAATCCCACCCAACACAACACCATACAGTTGGGAGGGATTCCCAAAGTCCCAGCTTTTCCCTGAGAAGCAAAGGGAAAATGTATCTTCAGCAGTGGAAATTGATTCTCTTAAAATTATACCTGGCTACCATTTAGGAAATCTTCATTTACTTTTAGGTGCCCCAGTTTGAGGACTGCTGTTCTACAAAATACTTCAATTCCTTTTCCTATATCCCCCATTAAGCACTCATCCAGTTTTTCTTAAAAGCTACTGGGAAAGCTACTTCCTGAGTTAATCTGTTTCCTTTTTAGATGTATCTACTTAAAATTTTTCCTTAAGGGTGTTATTTGAGTTAAAACAGGATCCACTTTCTTATAGCTTCTCATCAGTTGTTATAGTGCATTGAAAAAGTTTAATTATTTTCCTCCCTTAAGGTCTTTCACATATTTGAAATCTTCTCTAAGCTAGAAATCTCTATCTTCTTTACTTGCTCACATAAGATAACCAAGTCTGTTTACCATCCTGGTCACTCTTTGTTGGAATGGCACCCGTTTCTAAAGGACCCTCTTAAAGTCTTAAAGTCTGGGATCCAGAACTTAGTACCTATTAGATGTAGTTTGGCCAGTTTAAAGCGTGGGATTGTCACCTCTTTTTTCTGCACACTATAATTCATTTATCATGGCATAGGTTCATATTTACTTTTTGTCTTGGCATCTCTATTATACTGTTTAATAATGATGAGGGTCAACCAAAGTTCTAAGCCTTCTTTCCTTGACTCTGTAAAACTATTTTTTAGACGCCAGGGTAATGCTTTGAATATCCTTGCCCAATTTCCTTTTGGTTAAATTTGTTTCAGTGGCTGCCTATTGGAAAACTTTAAAATCCCTATTTTAAAATAGCCCCACATCTTGCTTTTATACCATCTAAAGCTGTTAGGTGTGCCATCGATGATTCTCTACGTTACCAATGACACAGTTAGGTGAGGATGGACGGAGCTGTGCATCCTACTCGTAGATCTCCTCTGCGGACTGGCGTGGCATTTTATACTTTTACAGTCATCCTACACCATTAAAAAGCACTTTATGAGAAAGGATATTTAATACTGAAATCATCCCGCTGAACCAGCACTCGGCCTCGCTTACTTGAAGCAGTGTCCTCGAAAGGCTTGTCTACCTTCCAGGCCGACAGCCGGCGAGGTCGCGGGTTCGGAGAACTCTCCCTTTGACTCCAGTTGCCCGGGATACTGTACTGAATATGACAATGTCTCTGCCCTCTTGGTTCTTAAATTCTAGTAGGAGAAAGACAGTAAGGAAACAGTAAATAAGCCAGCAGGGGTAAAAGCAAGATGACTTCTCCAAGTGACCAAGCGTTATGAAGAAAATAAGTCAGGCTCATGGAACAGTCGCTGAGTGGCCGCTTTAGGTCCAGCCCCTAGAGAAGGCCCCTTTGGGTGACCTGCAAACGTGACTGGACGCGCAGGAGTCGGCCTCGCAAAGATCAGGGACAGGAGAGGCGTTGCGGGGAAAGGTCGCGGTGACGAGGCAGTGAACACAGGGACCTCCGTCCCAGCGCTTTCGCAATCCCGCTTCCAGGCATTCCCAGCTCCCGGCGCCGCCTCTCCGCCCCTGCAG